AAGGCACCAGGCCCTCTGAGTGTCGGTGGAAAGGTCTCGTACCCAACCACTGCCTCGGCCTTGGCTCTTCGGAGCCTTGAGGGGTCACTTGGCGGTATCGAGCGTGGCTACCTCGTCCGCTTAAAAATGTTCCATTATGTAATACCGTGACTCTGTCGACGGTGAGAAAAAAGCATACCTGTTCGTGCAGGGTGGCATGGATAGAGCCAAGCACTGGAGAAAACCAGAATAAAAAAACAATTGTTGAAACTAAAAAGGAATTGACGGATCCCACAAATGAATGGGCAAAAGATAGCAGAACTGGCGCTAAATTAAACAAAGTACAGCATGGCCGTACTAAATAGCGAAAGCATGGCTCAGAAATCGGATGAGGTTGGCATCCGTCTGGGGGTCGAGCGCGCATGAACTATTCCAGCCGTGGCCCAAACCACAAAAGAGCTGGCTGCGCTACGAAAGACAAAACTGCTCGAGAAACCCGGTGGGGAACGGCAGGAGTTTCGGCTCCTGTCGTTCCCCTTTTTCATGAAAAGTAAAAGTTGAGTTGTTTGCCTCCTGCTTCTGGGACTTAGAAAAAATTCTGAGATTGTTGGACTTAGAAATAAAAAGGATAATATCTAAAGGGCAGAAATATTCTAAGTCCAAGAAAGGACTTAGAAATTTTTAAAGAAAAAGGTATAGTCCATATTGGACCTGAAGAAATTCTTCTGAGTCCGGGGTCCGAGGACCCTGGAAACTGAGTCCAGAGGGCACTGGACTTCGAAGATAACATCTTCATTGTCCGAATGGGGACTTGGTGCGCTCAAGAGCAGAGCCACCACTCAATACTGAGGACGGCAGTATCGGAAGATTTCGAGCCCAGATCGGGACTCAGGTGGGATCGGCGGGGGCCTCGTGCTCCTGCCGCTCCCCATTTTTATGCAATAGGAAAGTTGAGTTGTTTGGCTCCTGCTTCTGGGACTTAGAAAAATCTCGGAGCTGTTGGACTTAGAATATAAATGAGAATTAATAGCAAAAATAATTAAAGTCCAAAAAGGGACTTAGTCATTTCGGACATAGTAAATATCGGAGGCAGCTGATATTGGAAGAGGAAGAGGAAAATACTCCAAGTCCCAAAAAGGGGCTTGGAGGGTTTGGACTTAGAAAATTTCGGGTGCATTCGATGCACAGCTAGGGAACACATAGCACTGAGTCCAACGGGCTCAGACATAAAAAGGACAAAGTCCTTTTTGGAAATGAAGAAATTCGCCTAAGTCCGGGGCCTGATGGCCCTGGAAACAGAGTCCAGAGGGCACTGGACTTCAGTAGCTAAACTCTTCTAAGTCCAAAACGGACCCAAAGGACAGGCTTGACACACCTGGTCCAATACAGTCAGCAGCACCAGAGTTTTCGGAGCCCAGGGTAAGGCCCAAATGCGGCGCTTACGCTAACATCACCACTCGGCTCCGACATAGGGCATGAGCTCGAAAGCAGACCTATTATATTTCAAAAAGGTCTAGACTGGTGAAAACGACTAAGGCAAGGTTCCTCTTGTCCTTCGTCCCCCCACCGGTCTCTACCGGCAGGAAAATAATTCAACCCGCCACGGGTTGACTCTCCGGAATGGTCTGGCAAACCGCTTCCGGACATAGACCCAAAAAATGCGACCATTCAAACGGTCCGGGTACAAAGGTTCTACTGGAGAGACTCGCTTAGGGTACTCCCATAGATATACATGTTTAATGACCAACCGTCGGACCAAGTGGCGCGCGATAGAGACCACTAACACCGGTGTGTATTGACCTCTGGGCCCTGGGAAAGCCTAAGTCCACACCAAAATCCAAAAAAAAGTATTAAAAATACAAAATCCAAAAAAAGTTTTAAAAATCAAAGAAAATACAAAAATAATAACAGAAATACCTAACACGGACCTAGCAAACCCGTGGAGAAAGCGTTGATAGAGGAACGAAAGGGGATACGGACCCCCGGACGTTCAAATATTCTAACTCCAGCCTTTTCTATGGCTTTGTCCGGGTTCGCCACTAACCCTAAGGACACAGGCAGTTGGAGTGAGTGTCAATACCGTACACTGGAAATCGTTGAGGCCCGCCTTTAGTGGTAGGGGAGTGGTACCACTCTTGGGAATCGGCATGGTGACATGCCCCCTTGGGCTCGGGAAACTGCCCGGCCCCCTCGATGAAAGGTGGAAAGTGGCGTGCTCCAGCTGTAACGGTTTCTTCGCCGTCATTCCATAAAACGGCGCCGGGTGGAGTCGCCTCGGTTAGTGAAGCAGCACTTCCCGAAGGAGCGCTTCGTAGAAATCCCCTGCGTCCGAGGCTAGGGCCCCTTGGGCATGTCCCCGGGACCCTGGCGTCGGCCAGGCCTGTGGGGGTTGAGCTCCCCACGTTGTTGCCCGAGACGGAGTACTGTGGATCACGACTCCGGGCTGTTGCAGGTGGCACGTCAGAAACCTGACGGTTTTGCCGGTGGGACGTGACGAAACCGGCTGGGGGCCCCCTTGGACCCGGGACCGCCCCTGGAAACGTTGTGGGTCGGCTCAAACCTTTTTATATATGCTGACAATAGATTATTATTTAGTATAAAGCGTTTTTTAAATATTATTATACTCTAACTCTCATATATAGCAAATTTTGAAAATTATTATTATTTATACACTTATTGGAAAGACAATGACTGAAATAGCTGTGCAGACGATGGCGGTCGAACAGACTAACAGTAATGCAGACCAAAGAGAGGTCTTTGACCTGCTCATGGTCAACAGTGAACTCGAAGACTGCCTCAAGGAGGCAACTAAAATACAGTCAAGGAAAGTCAGGGAGTTGTTTGGCAAACTCTCCTCTGAACTTATAAATAAAGATAGAATCATAGCAGGACTTGAATCCAAGGTCGAGATCCTGACTACCACCTTAGAAAAAGTCCTGGCCTGTCCCGCTAGGCAAACAGAAGAGAAAAAGAAGGAGAAAAAGCCGACGCAGGTAGAGACGCCTAAAGACGCCACGTCCTACGCGCTGCGATGGCAAAGAAAGGAAAAAATAAGGTTCAGAAGGAACCAAAGAAAAAGAAGAAGGCAAAGCAGGCACCAAAGGTGAGCCCAACACCAGTGCCTCGCGAGCCAGCAGTGCTGGTTTATCCTGAGGAGGACGGCCCAAAGACGGCGGAAGAACTTAAGGCGCTCTTAAAACAGAACATAAGGCCCGCTGAACTGCACGTGAAAGTCACGTCAGTCAGAAAACTCAAAAACGAGGGAGTGGCAATCTGTGTCACAAAGAGCGAAGACATTGATACGCTCAAGAAGGCCATAGAGGAAGCGAAAGGCCTCAAAGGAAAGTGTGGAGTAAAGGAGCCCTCCACACGCAACCCTCACATTCTAATCTTCGATGTCGATAAAGACACAGAAGAAGCTGAAGTGACCAAGGCACTTCGTAAACAATTTGAGCTGCCAAAAGGTTCAGCCAAAGTCAGAAGCCGTCTCTCCGCACGGAAAGGCTATGAGCACTGGGTAGTAGAAACTACGCCGGCTCTGTACAAAGAGATTAAAGCGTGTGACAAACTATCCCTAGGATGGTCTCGCCACCGTTACAAAGAGTACCTATGCCCTATGAGGTGCTACAGGTGCTATAGATACGGGCATACGCAAAAAAACTGCGTAGAAAGAGAAACAGAACAACTATGTTCTAACTGCCCAGGAAAGCACTCCTACAAAGAGTGCAAAGAGGAGAAGACTTCCTGCAGAAATTGTACGGAAGTGAACATAAAGCAGAGACAGAAACTGGACACCGCCCACTCTACAATGTCCAGAAACTGTCCGTGCTACGTGCGAGAGCTGCAACTGCAGCGTAACCGTACTACCTATGGTTAAGACAACCATAGGAAAGGCGGAGTTAATGCAAATGAAACAATACGGACTATGGCTAGTGAATCCATAGAAAGTATGGTTTGGCGAATCTTTCAGGGTAACCTTGGGCGATCCAAGGTAGCTACCCTACACTTAGAGCAACTCATAGGTGAAGCCGAAGTCCCGCCGGATGTACTAATCGTCCAGGAGCCCTATCTAATCGACGGGGCAATAGCGGGAATCCCCTTAGAGTGGAGGCGGATACACCGCGAAAAGGGGGCAACGGCGATCCTAGTCACCAATCCAAACATGGACGTGGCAATTAAATATCTCAATGCTTATATCGTAGCGGCAGCAGAACTGACCACCCTGAGAAGGCGACTGATAGTGATATCTGTCTACTTCCCCCCATCCATGCCCATCGATCCTTTTCTTGTAGAATTGGACTTAGTACTGTCGTACTTCCCACCAACAGAAGTACTAGTGGCAGGAGACTGGAACGCCAAGCACGAGGCTTGGGGTTCTCCTCAAACCGATGACCGAGGTACCTCCGTCATGGAGTTCGTCTTAAGATCTAACCTCAATGTGCTGAACGATCCGGTCGCCCCGCCTACATTTAGGACAGTAAACGGGGAAAGTTGGATAGATATTGCTGTCGGTTCCGACTCACTATGTGATGCACAAGCTACCTGGCGGGTAATTGAGGATACCCCCAGCGATCACAACTACCTAACCTATGAGATTGGTAGTAAAGAGTTCCGACAGCAAAGTCCAAGGTACAAATTAAACGAATTCCAAATTCGTAAAGCCATCCGACACTTCAGTAAGCAAGCGGATGAGCTCCTCAGCAAGATCCAAGAGGCAAGTACCATTCAACAACTGGACGAAGCGGTCGATAAATTCATGGGTTCCCTCAAAGCAGTGTGCGATCAACACCTGCTAAGGAAGAACCTAATCAGAGATCGCAAAGTTCCATGGTGGGATATGGAACTAAAGGTTAAGCGTAGTAAGTGCAGAGCACTAAGAAGGAGGTACACCAAGAGCATGGTACCTCAAGAAAAGGCATTACTCTTGCTGCGGTATAAGCGTGAGAGAGCGACCTATCGAAAAATGATAGGCCACAAAAAGAAAATGAGTTGGCTCAAGTTCTGTGAAAGAACGGCCAGCA